CTCCAACCAGGCCCATCATCCTAGATAGCTTTGCTCCTGTTTCTTTGCCTGAGCTCACCAAACTAGTTAACTCTATGAAGACCTCTGCATGCCCCCTCGACATATTACCCTCGTCTTTGTTTAAAAGTGCTTTTCAGTCCATCGGTCCCAGTGCGCTCTCTATAATTAATGCTTCTCTGGTCTCTGGTCAGGTCCCTGCTTACTTTAAGAATGTTGTATTCCACCCGCTTCCTAAAAAACCGAGTCTCGACCCCTCTCTCCATAGCAGCTTCAGACCCATCTCTAAACTTCCGTTCATCTCCAAGATCTTGGAAAATATTGTGGCTAAACAACTCACAGCTGCTCTTGATGAACATAACATCTATGATAGCTTCCAGTCAGGTTTTTTGTAGAGCTTGTTCTACTGAAGCAGCTCTTCTTAGGGTCTCTAATGACCTTCTGACCCACAGTGATGCAGGGGACTGTTCTGTTCTGGTCCTGCTGGACCTGACTGCAGCCTTTGACACTGTTAACCATCACCTGCTACTGGAGAGGCTGAGAGACTGGGTAGGCCTATCAGGAACTGCTCTGGAGTGGTTCTCTTATCTTTCTGAGTGTTTCTTTTCTGTGTCCGTCTCCACGTTTAGGTCCTCCATCACCTCCCTTACCCATGTTGTCCCACAAGGTTCTGTGCTGGGGCCTCTGCTCTTCCTCCTCTATCTGCATCCTCTTCAGCACATCCTGAGCTCCTTCAAAGGAATCTCATACCATCTTTACGCAGATGACATCCAACTGTACATCTCCTTTAAGCCCCATGAGATGTCTAAGCTGCAGCTGCTACACACCTGCTTAGTGTGACCCACATGAGACATGTGGGTTCTGATGTTGAATATGTGGTTTAGAGTTGCAATTCCCCACTCCGCCAGCAGGCAGCGTACACGTTTTGAGACGGCTATTTCAGTTCGGTCACCTTTTCCTGTTCTGGTAGCCGTTGCCTGGGAAACAACTGCCAAACTAACTGAACGATCCTGGATCTGCACGCTTGAGTAAAATTCGGCCGTGAGAAGCTGTGTCAGCGTAGCAAGCTGTCTCAGCACAATCTCTGATTGGTTTTTGATCAGGATTGGCTCATTCAATATCTGAACCTTGAGGGTTCAGTGGCGAGCCAACCCGAAGGAGAGTGACTGTAGACAGACCAGAATACGGATTGATCAGCTGTGGAATCCGCCTCCAGAAGACTTCAGAAACATCATTTCACTTTGACACAGATAAGAGTAACACTTTATAATCTACCCAGGTGTTGGAACCAGTGGAAACAAATTACAAACACACACACAAGGGACTCTGATTTCTCCCACCAAGGAGAGTGAACTGAACACCAGAAGCAGATACTCTTTAACGCTCTGATAAATCCTTTATGGGGATTTTGATTGGTCTCCTAATTTTGTTGAATTTCATTTGGGGCCCAATTAAGGTGCGCTTGTGCACTACAGGAAGCCGGCTTTAGGTAGGCAGGGTTGTAAGTTTTATTTAATTTTTTTTCAATACAATTTGAATTCAAACTATCCTTGAGTTGTTCCTTTCTCGACTGATCGTTCCAAGGCTCAGTAGTTCAATCTAGAGCTTTCTGACACTGGTCCAGAATTAATCCAAACATAGTTAAACACATAGCTCATGTTATTTTACCGTAACTCGTGCTACAGTAGACTCTATCAAAACCTGGATGGCTGGGAGCTTTCTACAGCTGAATGAAGGCAAGGCTGAGATCCTCATCTGTGCCGCAGACAAGCTGGTTCCCAAAGTCAGAGTCTGTCTTGGTCAGTTTGGTTCTCACACTAAACCCTCGGTCAAAAATCTTGGCGTGACCTTTGACTCAGCTCTCACCCTGGATTCTCATGTCAGTTCTCTTGTTCGCTCTTCCTTCTTCCATCTCAGGAACATTGCTAAGCTGATTCCCATTCTGTCTCGCTCTGAACTTGAGACAGTTATCGACACCTTCATCTCCTCACGCTTAGACTACTGTAACTCTCTTTTCACGTGTCTGAGCAGAACCTCCCTGAACCGTCTACAGGTGGTTCAGGATGCCTGTGCTCGGCTTCTGACCAAGTCTTCCAAATACATCCACATCACCCCGCTTCTCCTCCAGCTTCACTGGCTGCCAGTCAACTTCAGGTTTCAAGATCCTGGTTTTGGTCTATAGGGCCTTACATGGACAAGCACCATCATACATTGGAGATCTTCTTAGTCCCTACACCCCCAGCAGGTCCCTGAGGTCCAGTGATCAAAGCCTACTGGTTGTGCAGCACCAGGCTAAAGAACAAAGGTGACAGATCATTTGCTGCTGTGGCCCCCAGACTCTGGAACTCTCTCCCCCTGAGCCTGAGATCAGTGGACTCAGTGGTCTCCTTTAAAAAGCAGCTGAAAACTCACTTGTTTAAGCATGGTGGCACAGTGGTTAGCACTGTTACCTCGCAGCACGAAGGTCGCAGGTTCGAAACTCAGCTGCGGCCTTTCTGCGTGGAGTTGCGTGTTCTCCCCATGCATGCATGGGATTCCTCGGGGTACTCCGGTTTCCCCCACAGATCACAACATGCCCAATAGGTTATAAATTGTAAGTCGCTTTGGATAAAAGCATCTGCCAAATAAATAAACATAAGCTGGTTTTGGTGTGACCTTCATCACCCTCTCTTTGTTCTGCTCTCCCCACCTATTCCACCTTCCTCAGGATCCACTGATTTCCCTCTTATCTTTTCACTCTCTCTCTCTCTCTTTACATTTTAATGACAATTGTCTATTTTTTGGTCATTTTAAATATATTTTTAACCATTTTCTAAATTCATTTTTTATATTTTACATTTTTTTGTGTGAAGCGCCTCGTAATTTTTATCTTGAGAGGCGCTATAGAAAAGATATTTTCTTCTTCTTCTTCTTCTTCTTCTTCTTCTTCTTCTTCTTCTTCTTCTTCTTCTTCTTCTTCTTCTTCAAAGCTGGTACCACGTAGCCTAGTGAACTAGACCAAATCTTGCTTTGCAAGGTTTGGTCTAGGAACGCTCCTGGTGGGTCAATCACAGCTCTCTATAGGGGGTTTCAAACTGATTGAACACTGTGATTGGTCCACAAAAGTGGGTCAAAACCAGGCAGTAATCAGATACCAGAACCACCGCATCTGACTCCTGTTGATGTGTTGAAGTTCCTCAGATGATGGAGCTCCTCACCTTACCTCTGAGGCTGAGCCTGGCCACCCTACAAATAATGCTTATTTCAGCAGCTTGTATCCAGATATTTGTTTGTTTTTGTTGGTCTTGATCCCAAACTTGTGACCATAGTTGAGAGTTAAAAAGCTTTAAAGAGCTTTGCCTTTCTGGCTCAGTCCCTTCTTCATTACAACAAACTGAAGCAAAGGCCTAATTTCCGGAGATGAAGCCCTGATGTTATATCACCACCTGCTCCATCTCATCACGTGAAGAAGACACCAAGTGTGCTTAATGTTTACTCGAGACAAAGACTCTCCACCTTTCTCTGGATGAGAACTGTGTCCAGCCCACATTGGAAACAAAAAAAAGACTCACTTGTAAGGATGCAGCTTTGATTGTAAAAGTCCTTAATCTTATTCTCCTACATCATAGTAAAATCTAGCAGGAAAATGACCTTTTTGTCTTTTTGACCGAGTTACCAAAAACTGTAGAAGTGATAAATCTTGTTTTGTCTCAGGTTCTGTTTAGACCCTAGGAACTAAAACTCTTTCCAGTTTTGTTCTATGCTGTTACTTTCTGAAATCTGATGAAAAGTGTTTTATTTTTGATTGTCTGTTTATATAAATCTCCACTTTCCTGCTGGTGAAGAATTTCCCAGGTTGTTGGTTTTCATCCTTCAGCTCATTCATCAGACAACCAACAGCTCTTTTACTTCCTGCATCAAGCTTGCTTTGCTCTCAATCTCCTTTTTAAAATAGATCCAATAAAACATGGCAGATTTGATATAAACCCATTTTATCACTAAACCTCATGCACATGTTCAATTTAACCAGCAAATTTGTCATAAAACGCGAGTCAAAACGCTCTGATTTTCTGTTCGCTGTGGCTTCGGCTTCACAGAATCCCACCATGTTGCATTAATCACAGCTCAAAACAAGTTGGTCCCAGTTGCACGCTAGGAAATCCGTACCATGGCACCAAAATAAATGTATAGTTTTATGGATTCATTACAAGTTTGATCTCCTATCTGCTTCCATCCTGGCATTTAGTTGTGAAAAATGGGCGCGTCATTTCCGCAGGATTTGATATTTATGGCCGGTAAATTGAAGTGGCAAGACAATTTAAAAAACAATTTCTCCTAAAGTTGCACTGCTCCTCTTCTGTAAAGGGTAATAAATGCTCTGGAGGAGTGAACCGGGTCAGGTTGCCATGGTAACAGAGTGTCTACATTCACACGCCTAGTGTCTGGGCGCGTTTGATGTTTGGACACAAAGCACAAAAGACTATGATTTAGGAGTTTTGCACCACAGAGAATCTGTGTCTCCTGGTTTTGCTTATCGGAGGACATGAGAGAGACTAAAAGTAATCTTCTACGTGTCCTCTTAAAACTCCCACTCTGTCAGTTCACTTAGCTTCCTGTTGATGTTTAGATATGAGATGAGTCATCAAAAAACAACCCAGAGGACGCATTTCCTCAGAGCTACTCTTAACACAGAAAAACATGTTTTGACTAACTCCCTGATTTACTGCTGTTATATTCAGCTGCGAGTTCAGCAAATTACTGCTCCTCGGTAAACAGGTGTGTTTTTCTTTTTGTGTTTGTATTTTTCTGCTTCTCATCATCTCAAGTTGGAGTAAATGAGTGTGCTCTGCCCATCTGCGTTCTTGTCTACTTTTTATGCATTAACCTCTGCCGTCATCCTCAGTGTGTGTGTGTGTGTGTGTGTGTGTGTGTGTGTGTGTGTGTGTGTGTGCGCAGCCTGTCTGTTCTCTGTCAGGTGCTAATCTCTGTGATCCAAACATTGTGATGTATGTCTGCTGATACAGGGGGTCATGCAGGATGTGGAGATCCTGGTGATGCCACAGGGCTACATCTCACAGTGTCCGGATCTGAACAGAAGTGAGTGCGGCAGCCTGTTCACTAATTCACACTGCAAGCTTTTCATGATCTGTTGGGACTTAAGAGTACATGCTGTGAATGACTCTCAGCTTTACCGCCACGCCAAAGTATAGCTCCACACCTGGAAAAACTTACTGAGGTGGCCATGTTGAATCCAGATGAACCTAAAGGTGTTGTAGACATTCAGTGATTGCTCAACGAGTTTAAATTAAATACGTCCAGTGCTCTGCGGGTTATTTTGCTGACACTGCTAACAAGTAAACACACGCACGGACAATTTGGATATTGCTGCTTGAAGTGAGCTGGCTGATGATGATGATGATGATGATGTTGATGATGATGAAGATGGTGAAGAAGAGGTCTAAAGTAAATCTAAAGAGTGAGGATAAAAAGAAGCTGGGTTAATAACCTCCATGGTTTTGAGGCAACAGAAACAATTATCCAGCCCGACAGTTTAACTGCACCGCTTCGATCCCTGGCCAGCTTCACGTGGCTGCTGTTCAGGCTCATTCCACAGTCTTCAGTTCAGGTTTGATTTAAAGTTGGATTTTACAGCAACCTGTTAAAGTGACATCAGGGAGGACGTAATAAAAATATTCCAGATGCCTAATTTAGAAAGTGTCTTAGGCCCTGTCCACACGTAGCCGGGGATCTGCCAAAACATAGATATTTTTCTCCGTTTTGGCCTGTCATCCACACGAAAACGGATCTTTTTAAAAACTCCGGCCAAAGTGAAAATCTGCGTTTTCTCCGTTTTGGGTGTCTGCGTGTGGACAGACAAAACCGGAGTTTTAACGTCCGCAACGTCACTTTCTGCGACAAAAAGCATCACGTGTGTGACCTGTGTTTACACTAGCCGACAGCATGGATGCCCTCAGAGCTGCGCTCGCTTTATCAATTGTCCAAGCGCTTTTTGCTTGTTTGTTTTTGCAAGCGGAATTACTGCTCCTTGCGAAAGACCACAGACGAAGGACGAGGTTAAGAACGGGGGAAGTACTGCCGCCTACAGGTCTGGCATGTCCTTAACAACGTATTTATCCGGGTACGTGTGGACAGAGTTTTTTTTTAAAACGAGGTGGTGTGGATGCAAGTTGTTGGAGGGGCGGATGTTTGTTTTTAAATAAACCCGGCTACGTGTGGACTAGGCCTTAGAGAAATAGCAGCTGAATTTATTTGGAGTAAAGCAAAGCAAGATCTGCTGCATTGATTAAGCCTCTTTTACTTTTCAATTGTTGTCTGAAGTTTTCTGCCATCATGGTTTGTCTCAGAAAAACATTATTCAACTTTGTTAAATATAGAAAGAAGAGAAAAATGACAATGAACACTCCATAGAGTAGGAGGAGAAATGTAGGCTGGTCTAAAAGAGTAGCTTAAATCTAATAGTTGGGCATCTATCCTGTGAATTGCCCAAAACTGCTCCACAATCAAACCCTTAGAATCTGGTATTAGTTTTTTTCAGCAATCTAATGATGGATTTGAAAATGTGTGCTGACATGACAGAACATTGTCTTTTGTCTCCTAGCATGTCCAACATGTAATGATTTCCATGGACTCGTGCAGAAAATCATGGAACTGCAGGATATCCTCGCAAAGACTTCAAGCAAGGTAACGTGATGTGACTGAATGAGATGTGAAAAAAAGGGAGTGTTTTCCTAAAAGTGAGACTAATCACAGCTGTGAATGAAAGGAGTAGATTGCACAAGGAGTATAAAATATCCACGTTGCCATGTCATCTGTCCTTGCAACAGGCAGTGCAAGATTAATTAATGCTAGACTTTAGCCTTTTAAGGTGTAAAAGCTGTTAATAATCCGATAAACGACCAAGCTTTTTGGTTTGCTGCTGATGTCTGTTGGATACTCCACTTTCTGCCTTCACAGAACCTAACCGACTTTAATCTTTTTCTTCTTATTTTTTAATCTTTTTGTCTGCGTTGGGTTACGGTTTGGTGAGCAGCTGTCCAGGGCGGAGGAGAAGATGAATGGGCTGGATGGCTGTTATTGTGAGCGAACATGCAGCGTCAAGGGGGTTGTCTACAGGGAGGACGAGGGCTGGACAGATGGCTGCAGGAACTGCACGTGCACGGTGAGGCTTCACACACGGGTGCTGCCCGACTCGGCGTGCCTGTGTGCTTGTTTGCTTGTCATACTAATGGAGGATGCAAGGGCATTTTCATTTCAGTGTGTGGACAGGAGTAAATATACTCGGCCCAGAATAAAGCACTCGTGATTGCTGGTTGCGATTGTTTCATTCAGTTTATGAGCGTCTAATATGAAGTGATTGCTGCTGTGTGAGAGGGACTGGAGGGGCTTGTGTGTTGGAGAACATGTATTTTTAATCATGTTGATATCGTTGTTGCTTGTGTGTGCGGCTCAGTTGTGTCCGTGTGTGTGAAGGTGGGGGTGTCTGGGTGGATGTGAAAAAGGTGCACATGGTAAATATTTGGCAGCTCGTTTCTATATACTTTGATGCTTTAGTAAGGACCGGGCCAGCAAGATAATCACACCGATTTTGGACAAGCCCCGCTCCTTACGAATATTTTTAATTTGCAAACAATTACTATAACGGCTCTAAAGATGATCTTATCAGACAATTCTACCATGTGTGATCTGTTAAGAGGGCTCTGGGTGGCTTGGAAGTAGGTCAGGACTAGGGGCAGACCGATATATTGGTCAGGATGATATTTACCGATTGTTATACATTGGCATCGGCTAATATTTGTCCTTAAAGGCCGGTTTAAAGTCAGGCACATCCTCGGGCAGCCAGTGTTGTAGCAGTATTTCATTTAAATGTGTTTTTACTTTCAATAATAACGTCTACATAATAGATACTCTAAGATAACTTCATTTAGGTGTCTGATTTAAACAATCAGCAGTGCACAAAGTGAGTGAAAGCGGTTCATGTGTAGTGTTTTGTATTTGTTGGGTTACTGCACACCACACTGTAGGACCAAAGCTGGTGTATCCATGATTTTTTATCACTGTGTGTGGTTTGTCGTGCTTTGAAAATCGGTCAATAATTTAAAAGTCCTGCTGTATGAACCAGGCTTTAGACTGTCTCACCCCAGACAGTAACAATACTCCTCAGTAAAGGTTTATTTCCTCAAAAACGTATGTTGCATTCAAAAATGGTGTGAATCATTGCCAAAAACAACTGAAGACGTTCGGCTTGTTCCACATCAGTAAATAGATTTCACCAGTTGTCATTCTGCTCATCTCTGGAACATGGCTCTCATTTGATGCATCTGAACTGTTTAAACTAGTCAATGAGACGCCTTCATGCACCACTAGTCAAGATAAAAAATAAAAAAACCCATGAAACCACATATCTCCTTATGCACCGCACCTAATTGCTCCTGACAGATGATAATTATCATCAGGGATTTGTTCACCCACTCATCCAATGAGATGACTTCATTCATTAGGATGGGTGTTTTGCCATTCCTAGGCTGCACTTAGGGAATTAGATGGGATATGCTCCTTACCTTATGTCTGGCAATTAGCGGTGACCTTTAAAATTTAAAGGTGATGCATTAAGATGTTATCAATTATGTGGATCAGGTTCATAGATGTTGCTGTCACAGAGCTTTCATCCGTGAAAACGATGTTAATTACAGGCATAGCAGTGAGCCGAGTGATGGCGTTTAGATTCGTGAGTTATTGGGACTCACTTGAGAAATTCACAATCCTACAATAGATTTACAGTTTCAAATGCTGGTTTTTATTACAAATGGTGTGTATAATTGTTTTGTGTCATTATAATTCTGTAAAAACTGTGTGATGGACTGTAGACCTGTCCAGCGTGTACCCCCAGACTGCTGGAGGAAAACAGCAACAGTGAAGCGGGCATAAAAAAGGATAAATGGGTGATTTTGTAAAATTCTACATGTACGAGCACCATACACATTAGCTTCAACCATTTACATTTGTTTTATTACATTTAACCTAAAACATATACCCAGACATCATAGATGTTGTTGACGCAACATAACCTAAAGATGTAGGCAACACTTTAATAAATGTAATATTGTACATGTGACGCCTGTTCTGTGGAATACCTGACCTCTTACAATCCACAAGTCAACATCTATTGCGGCTTTCAAGTCACGACTAAAAACACATGTTATGACCTGGCTGGTACATCTGGACTTTTTTCTTGTTAAAAAATGACTTTTAATTGTTTTTATTCATATTTTTTGGGCTTTATTCTATTCTTTTAGAAAAATAATGTTGTCAGTTGTACTTGTTTTATCCTTTGCTCTGTTTATGATATGATGTATGTTTTAGTACTTATTTCTGGACTGTATGTAAGGCGCTTTGGTCGGCTCTCATCCTGAAATGTGCCAAAGTGATATGGTATATAAGCTGGCTGTGATGAAAACTGATTTCATGCATGACATTTTAAGATAGTTTGTTTTGTTTTATAATAATAATAATAATAATAATAATAATAATAATAATAATAATATATATATATATATATATATATATATATATATATATTATTATTATTATTATTGTTATTATTATTATTATTATTATTAATGATAACAATAATAAAACATTACTTTAACTATTCAGAACAGAATAGCACATTTGATCTAGCACCAGCTTTATGCTCTCCAGGTTTGCTACAGTTAGCCAAAAGATTGTTGATATCTATTATAAAATCAGTTTGAAGCTAAATAGTTTCAGATTTCCTGAAATCTTTAGACTGACAGTGCATTCACTTTGTGAACATACTGTATGGGACTGGCTTTTGCAATGGTCGTGTTTAAACGATGTGACTTTCTGTTCCCACCAGAACGGAACGGTGCAGTGTGACGCCGTCTCCTGCCCTCCTCCTCAGTGCCCAGCAGGCACGGCACCTGCCTACGTAAAGGGGGCCTGCTGCAAGGAGTGCCTGTGTGAGTGGAGTACTCTTAACCTCAACATCTTCCCACTCTTACGAAATCATGGACACAGTATCACACAAAACACACACATACGCACAAAAACACACGCATCACACCCAAACAAGCCTCCACCAGCAGATCGAGAACTCACAGAACGCCTCCACAAGGTCTGCCTGACAATTGACCAGGGCTCTGCTGTGTTGCTAAGCTACCTTCTAACATGTCCTCTGAGATGAGTCCATCCTTTTGCATATACATGGACCGATCAATTATTCACAAGCTGGCTTCAAAACACAGATGGCCATCAGTCACACAGATATTAGCCGGTAAATCCAGGTTTGCTGCGTAGAGCACATTTTTATCTGGTGTTGAAGCTGTGAGAAAAAGGAAGAGAGGGAAAAAGAAAAACATTAAAAGTTTTAAAATGATGCATATGTTCACACCTTTTTCATAAATGTCCATTTTTAACTTTTAGCACTCGCTGGTTCTGGCTGGAGGCATAAATTATTCTGTTTCATTGTGTTGCCACAAAGAGGGTCTGCTTTTTTTCTCAAAAAGACTTTGAGCTAAGCAATGAACTCTCATTAGCCTCCTCACCGCAGCACTCTGCATCTCATATTCCCCATTTCAGAAGAAATTACCCCTTTTCACCTCCACATTGTTTAATAATGCTGCAAATGAAACTTAAAAATGGGAATCATGTGAAAACTCCCAACATATGGATCATAAAACCTGCTCCTGCATGCAATACAGAAACTTTTCACCTTTGTTGAGTGTTTTAATAACTTATACTATTGCATATGGACTATGAGGTTACATACCATATGAATTATAAAATAGTATAGCAGACGTTCTGTATTATTTGACTCCACTTCTTGCTCAAGCTGACTTTGTTTGAGAGCCCACTCATCACAAACTCCCCCTCACTTCTGCTGTTGCTCTCCTGCTTCGTTTGCGAGCAAAACAGAGATGAGTTTAAGCTCTCCATCAGAAGAGAAATCGTTTGTTTTAGTCGTCTGGCATCAGCATCATTTGCAGGTGTCAGGGATGCGACTGTGGAGCTTTAATCTTAGCTCCATTTACAGCTGTTTCACAAACATAAACACGTAGCAGGTAATAGCCTTAAACTCAATACTCTTAAGTACGTTTATCTCCACGATGTAGGCGAACACTAATTACGTGTCTTTTTAGACAAGAGGGCCACAAGTTTCTCCACCACAGAGATACCATTTGCTCTTCAAATTAAAGCAGTATCTCATGGTGGAAGGGGCGTGTGGGGAGGAGTTGTTTTTTCCTTTTTTTTTCTTCCTTTTTGATTGTCTGTCAAATTTAACGTCAAATGAATGTTTCAGAAGTCTTCCGCTTTCATGATACACCGCTTTGTGAAAGTTCCTGACCCGCTGTGTCAATCATCCCTACCCCTCGTACCAGTCTGAATCCACCCGACCCCAACCACTCATCGAACATCCACCTTTTTTTGCCTACATGATTATTTTTGAGCACTTCACCCTCCTTCCTCTCAATTATACAAAACAGTTTCTTCTCTCTGTGGTGGTGAAAAGTGCTTTGTGTCTCTCCACATTAATTATGCCATCTCGTCTTTTGTTGCAGCACTTAATTGGTTTTGCCGTGCTTGATTTGGTTTAACTCTCGTGTAACCGAGGTCTTATAAAGCTGCAGATAATAAGGACTGAAGATACAATGCATGTCCAACATCACTGTTAAAATACTTGAGTTGAATAAAAACTGTGACTATGGTGTCACTGATGAATTCATTTTAGGGATTAGAAAAAATGTAATGAATGATTACTGAAGAGTTTTCTTCAAAGTCAAAACCATCAGCGTGCACCTAGTTTATTAGATTTAAAATACAAGCCGCCTTAAGCCTGGTTTATGCTTCTCCGTCAGCTCCGCAAGGGACAGACACGCACGGACTGACGGAAGCGTTTTGCTCTTTTACTTCTCCGTCTCCTGGAGAGTGTTGCAAAGCAATTGCCCAGCAGGACAACAGAGGGCGTAGCGCTGTTCTGTGGTATCCTGTCATGTATCGGTCCAAGATCGTGTGTTTATATTGTGTTTTTGTGTATATAAGAAACTTTTAACACGGACATATTTGTCTCTCATTCTCTCACCGCTTCATGCGCTCCCCACCTCTAAACTCACGTTTCCTGTCATTTCCGTCCACAAATAAAACGCTTGCTGCGCATCTTTTCACTCCTCCAGTCACGGGAGAATTAAACATTCACATTTTTAGAGTTTTTTCACGAGGTATTCTTCAAGCTTCTCTGTGTCTGCCGCTAGTTATCCTCGGCTCTCTTTGCAATGGCGGTGCTGTAAACAACAGCGGCGTCCTGACCAATCACAAGCTTGTGTAATCCGTCTCGTTCGACGGATGTTTAAAAAAGTGGGCTCGACTCCGTACGTACTTGCGTGCCTGCCGGAGCCCTACGCAAGGATGGATAATGGCGTTGCGTGTCTCCGCATTGATGCAGACGGAGAAGCATAAACCAGGATTTAGTTTTATTGTTTTTAAATGAAATGGATATTAGACGATGAACATTTCTGCAAAGGAATCTCTATGGAAATTTTAGTTTTAGTTAGCATATTACACTTGGGAATTAATCAGTGAGCTCCGGTTTGGTTTCCGACTTTGGAAGTGACTATGTTCTTCATCCGTTAAGACCTGCAGCTCACTTGGTGTAAACTCACGAATGTCCTTGGTGTGCCTATTCTTGTTTTGTGAATTGGAGTTGGATGTTGTTAAGTACTAATTGCTTCAATCTGCTGCACTTTATGGGTGTTTTCAGTCTTTATGAAAGCAAAAGGAAACACATGGTGCAAATTTCCCTTTTTGCATTCCTTAGTGCCACCACGTGCGTCTCTACTGCCACAAAACACTGTTTGTTTCAGGATTCGTATGCTTCTACAAGCCATTCCATAATGTCCCTTATTGTGACATCACAATAGGGAAAACTAGCAGAGAGCCCCCACTAACCTGTCCACTCTTAAGAAGACATTCACTCTAAAGGTGAAGGACATTGTGTTACAGAAAACAAAAGTGTCAGAATAAAATTGCTGCTCAGATAAAACAATTAAAGCTCCTCAAGTTGGAGAGTAAGCGTTACAACCAGCTGACACAAACTAGCCTTTTATTTAGGGACCATGATAGATTTACCATTGATTATTATTTCTTGTTTATAACTGAGCTTTCATCAAAGGAGTCTGTTCTTTAGTTTGCTGATTTGTGCGTGCTCAATTTTCACTGAAGCCACAGAGCTTCACACTCTTGTTCCAGAAAAGTATGTAGATGAAAGTTCTGAGGCATCCAGGGCATGGTGAATCCTAGAGAGTGCAGATAAATGTAACTGGACTTTTTGTTTAGCTTCCTAGAAAATGTTCCACTTCTCATCTGAGGAGCTGTTTTCAATTCAAGTAGTCAATCTGCAATCCAACCACTGATCCTTCCTGCTGAGGGTCATGAGCTTTAAACCCAACAACACCCTCAGTTAGGAACCTCCAAAGTACGGAAACTCCTGAACAGAAGCTGTGTTTGCGCATGCGTGCATGTGTGGACCTTTAAATTAGAGAAACCAAAAAAACAGCAAAACACGCATGCAGGAATCACAGAAATGTTCATCTGATGGACAGGTTTGTGGTTTGAGAGAAAGAGAAGAGAAGAGAAGAAAAGAGAAGAGAAGAGAAGAGAAGAGAAGAGAGGAGAAGAGAGGAGAGGAGAGGAGAGGAGAGGAGAGGAGAGGAGAGGAGAGGAGAGGAGAGGAGAGGAGAGGAGAGGAGAGGGAAAAAAAAAGAACTTTCCAAAAGCTGAAAATAAAAACGAAAAAATACTGGATGAAAAATCAGCTTTCAACTTTCTAGGACTTACAAGTCTGTCCTGAACTTGACTTCCAGACAGTTTCACAGAAAAATACACTTTCATGGATGATACCTAATCGTTTGTGCACCAGGACAACACAAACCAACTATGACAAGGTCTTCAATAGATCAAAAATCATGCTCTGTGTATTTACTTTCTCTGTAGCAGATACATGAAATGTAACTAGATTACAAAGTCATTCATGCTTACACCAATTGTTTATTGTGTATTTTTATGTTGGAAGGCACATGCTCATTGAGCATCTGCTTGGTGCACTTATGGCTGTGTTTTGTCCTTTTGCTACCAGCTGTGTGCTTGTTTGGTGGGCGAGAGTTGGTGGAGGGAGATCAGAGGGCTGTGCGCGACTCCTCCGGCAGGTGTCTGCTGTTTGAATGCAGGGTGAGTCAAGTCAAATCACAAAAGATCATTTAACTATGTCTGATAAAGTAAATGCATCAAGATCCTCAAGCAGGATCTCCAAATAGAGAAAAAAATTGTAGCTCAGTAAAATTTTTGTTATTTTGCCAAACATTGATTATTAAGTAGTCTGTCAGATTGAGCAGCGTTTTGTTGCTTCTTGTTCCCGTTGGAATGAGTGTATTTGTTCTGCCTGCAGTGTGCAGCACTAACTGTCCTTACTGCAACGGCTCCCAGCCTAAAAAACATGAAGCAGCTAGCAAAGCAAGGTAGCATCACTAGTAATCTAACAACACTGGGCAGTGCATTTGTCTCCATTTGCTGAACTTTGACATGTTCGCTACTAAAGTTTAAGTAACTTTTTCAGTGAGATAAAAACTTACAAAAGCTCAAATGAACAATTTATTACCAGTTTTCATGTGCAAGGCAGCTAAAGAGCTGTGTGTTCTATAATGTCCTATCCTGATAGAAGTGATACATTTTCCTAAAATGACCGAGTAGAATATTTAATGTATTTCTTAAGTTCAGAGTTAGCTGAAAATCTGGCTAACGTTAGCCCCTGACTCTCTTCAATCCAGTTGATCATGTTTTATTAAATCGTTCTGAATAGTTATTATCAAATCACACACAGTTATATTCTGCTTTAACTTTATGTTTAGGGTTACAGCAGGTTAGCTTAGCCAGAACCAGAACTAGGCTCCTCTAAAGCAAATGAACACTCTGAGTAGGTTGTTCCCAAATGAAGACCACATTTTACTTCCTGTCTTCCCTTACCTGTTCCTTTAATCTCACACACACCAAGGCTGTCAACATTAATGTAAAACACATTGTTTGTTAAGAAAAAGCCTTTTTTGTTATATAATATCCTGCAGGGCCACTATCCAGCAGGTTTTGTGGCTTCTACCCTCCAAAACACTTGATTCAGAGGTTGAATCACCTGTGCAGCAGCTCCTCAAGCTCTGCAGAAGCCTGTTAATCACCTGCTGATTGAAATCGGGTGAGTTGAAGCAGAGTTAAATGTAAAACCTGCTGGATACCAGCCCTCCAGGACCAGGACTGGGCACCCCTTCTTTTGAGCAACCTTGGTGAGCCTCACCTTTAGTGGAACAGCTACCTGATGACGTACCTGTTGTCCACAAAGGGCCACGATCACTACTGCAGACTAATGCTCCTACCATGAAAATGTCCCGCCACAAACTGTTTACAAAAAGATCAAGTACAATATGAAACAGTTCTTGTTTAGTCATCCAACATTTGGTAGATTTTGGAAGACTTTTAAATTTTCTTGTTAAAATTTTGACTTTAGAGGTTTGCTTAATGGAACTTTGAAATTCCGACTTCCGAACACAAATAGAAAGCAGCATAAATTCCTGCTTACTTCAGGACTATTTCCCATTCTCTTAGAAGGTATTTTCAGCTCTGCCCACGGGGTTAATAAGTATGCAGGAACGGACCGGAAATTCAGCAGCCAGGGTTTTATAATGAAAGCACAGCTTTACACGTGCCTCTTTATTTTCTCAGGTAGGTTCTGTTCCACATGAAGCCCAACATGATTATTGATCGTTGACTGTCCTGGTGGATTCATGAGCCAATCTCACCTGTTCTGTAAAGAATCTCATGTATCCAAGACATGCCAAAAAGATCAACTGGACTTCTTTTCTTGCAGCTTGAAGATGTTTTATCTTTCATGCAAAAGTAGCTTCCTCGTTCTGACTGGTTTGGTGTTCCAGACTTAAAAGGCGTTTTACAACAATCCCAGCAATAGATTCATTAAAGTCACAAAAGTGGGTTACCAACTTGAGCAGTCCTGCTGTGATTTTGTTTTTATAAATATCTTCTATACATTCATTCTGTGTCTCATTTGAACTTGTACTTCTTGTTTTTTTAAACACATAAAAAAGTTGTTCCTTACCTTATTAGCTAACGTTTCAGCTACTTCCTGTAGCCATCATCAGAGCTGTGACGATGTTGGCGGCGTCACTTCCTTTTCCGTTTATCTGCGGGCAGCAGAGGACGTTTTCACCCTCTGTCTGGAGTCATAAATGAAATACCATGCAAACTCTGCAGTAAAACATACGTAGGAGAAACCTGACGCCAATGTAACACACGAACAACATAGAAAAGAGTGTGAGAAGGAAACAAACCGAAGACACACAAGAGCAGCAAAACAAGAAGCAGAAATTCAGCTGTTGCAGACCACTGCACAAGGGAAAACCATATAATAGAGTGGGACAAAACAAGGATCATAAACACAGAACAACAGAAATACAAATGATTGATTAAGGAAGCCATAGAAATAAGGAGACGTGGACACGGAACCATGAACAGAGACGAGGGGGTCTACATGTTAGATCACGCATGGGACTGTGTCATCGACGAGGACGGCACGGGCTCATCATCACAGCTCTGTGGCTGCAGGAAGTAGCTGAAACGTTTGCTAATAAGGAAAAGAGCTACTTCTCTTTGCTGAAATACAAGAAAAACAAGTTGTTTTTATAAAGCTTTGAATTTCTAACCAATGGTCAGATCCATAGAAGCCTTTTAAAATGAAAAGTAAAATGTCTTCAAGCAAAAAGATAGGCGCAGTAGCCATCTTTCTAAAATACTGTCAAGGTTTTTCAGTGTAAAAAAACAACAACATGAAACTTTAGTTGCATGGGCCGTGCTGCGCAGTGAAAAGGAGGCTTTTAATGAGATAACAAACTAAGTTCTGCTGCTAGTTTAAATTTGGAAACCAAAGCATTGCATCTGTCAGTGATAACACTGCACATCCATTTTTCTGAACCAATCATCTGATGCAAAGTTGACTCAAATTAGGTTCATTTACTAATTATTCAGCGTTTGCTTTGCGGGCCGTCTGCAGCAGATGGGCCCCTAACTCACATTTGGGAGTAATTCACTCGATGACATTACACCAGGCGGGCTCAATCAATCACAGAAAAGTGATATGAAGTTTTTAATCACCCGACTCTGTCAAAACAACCGACTGATCAAGAGATTCTGCCAATGCACCATTTGAATGTGCAGCTCCACACAGCTGCCTGGCTTGCTTGGCCCCACCTGGCCCATCTGTAGTCCCAGTTAACTGACTGGCGGTCTCACACGGATCAAAGACGTGGGGACGGGGAGTGCTGTCAGTCAGCCCACGGCTGCAAACTTCTCCCGGCTTCCCCTGACAGACGCTTGTCACGCCTCTGATCTTCTGTCTGCCTGCTGGCTGAAGGGTTGGTGCAGGTTCTGGGTGGTGGAAGTGGATACTGAGGCTTGTTAAGGAAACTTGTTTGCAGACGTTGGATGGAACGTTTCTCCAGAAATTCATCCAACCATTCTCAGCCTGAGGTGAATACATCAACACAAAGTTGATCATTGCATTGAAAAATGAAATAAACATTAAACAAAACTGTGCACTAGAAATCAGCAAAATATTTTAACTGCTTTCATAACCTGTCTGCTGCTGTCTGTCCTGGGACTGGGAGATCGGGGTCGGGTCATCCCAAAGACTATCTAATGCCTCCCTGCTTGACACTCAAACCCCCGCTCCCCAAGGGGAAGGGTCAAACGCGGGGCTGAATTTCAACAGTGTGATGACTAATGGGACTTTAAAGCTCTGAAAATTTTAAGTTTAGCATCAACTAGAGGTTCACATATGACATCATCAGAGACTTGCCAGAGGCTTGAGGGGACTAAAAAACTCCCAAATCAGTTTACATCTCCACTAAACACACATGCAGGGACCGTTTGTGTTTGTTGCTTGTGATGAAGACGCTCCATGGATCATTTTGTAAATTGCTTAAGATAATTTACAGCGAGACAGAGAGCATGCATTTCACTCCAGAGGTAGTTAAAAAAACCGTGACTGACTAATTTGTAATTGGCTTATAATGAACACACGGGGAACAGCAGGAGCAGCGCAAGAGTGAAAACAGAAGTGCAACGGATGAGTAATTACCCACATTATTATCCTCAGATTTTGAGAAAATGAAAAAGAGGAGAAACCCCAAATAAGGAGTAGCTGAAGAGGGTGTTGCTGTGTTATTTCCAGGACAGGAGTATGCACCGGGTGGTCCAGAGTGAACCTTGTCCTGAGCTAAACTGTCCCGAGTCGGAGCAGGTCGCTTTGAACAGCAGGTGCTGTAAAGTCTGCAGAGGTATTTAGAGTTCTTCACTTCTTTATTGCAACTGCCTGATGAACAATTATAACTGAAAATGCTCATTTTAAGGTTCTATATGACAGAAAAGTGAGTAACATTATGTGGAATCCATGATTGGAAAAAGGTGGTAATTTGAGGGATTTTGTTTTGATCTAAATGCATTAAAGCAGCAATATGTTTATTTTGGCCATCCTTTATTTGGGAAATGTTATCGCAGAGCTGGAGGAAGAGGAGGCAGAAATCACAAACGTTTTTTTCTTTTCATGCACTTTAGTAAAACACGTTTGTGAAGAATAGTACGCACACGACAAAGTAAAATCATATTGAATGCATGCTTACCTTTGAGAGTTATAGAGAAAAACAAACAGATGTATCGTAACTTTTTCACATTTCTCCTCCTCCTCCCTTCTTTGCGTCTCAATCTTTTTCTCCCGCAGGTCACGACTTCTGCTCAGAGGGCCACGGCTGTGTGGAGCACTCTGACTGTGTGAATCTGGAGGCAGGAGACTGCTGTGTTTGTAAAGATGGCTTCCGACCACTGCGAGACGATAACGCCTACTGTGAAGGTACAGCACGACTCCTAATTACAAACCCCAGCTGCTCAATGAAGTTAGTTTGTCCTGCAGAAGAAGGCCCGTGTATTCCTTCTTTTGCCTTTTATCTTTGCTTTGTGAATATTGCGCCAAGGGAGGTCAAAAGGGGGCAAAAGCACGTGCCGTTTTCTGGGAGAACATGGCAGTGGTAAATTAGTGTTTATTTTTGCACTGAAGAATCTGCAGATCAGTCATGGCTCCCTGACTGCTTTGTCTAAGGATCAAGGTAGCACCGCTTCTCCTACATGACAGCAAAACAGGTGTGACATTGATATAAGAACAAGGAAATCTGGAGTACTTGGCTGAAGAGAGTGCCTTAAGTTATGCAGAAATCATGAGCCTTTTAAAGAGACAATGTGTAGTTTTTACCATTAATCCCTGGAAATATCCTACAGTTGAAAATGAACTAAATGATGCACAGTTGTTGAAAAATAAGTGGTGATTTCATAACTATAAAAATCAGGTCTGAAATACATGGGAGTGGGTCTAAAGCCTAACTTATACTTGTGCGTCGGGACGGACGCACGCGACACCATTATCCATCCTTTCGAGGGCTCTCCGACAGGCTCTCAAGGACGGACGGAGTCAACCTCCTTTTTCTAAACATCCATCCATTGAGACAACAAATGCAAGCTTGCGTCAACAGCGCCGCCATTGCGCACTCAAAAACATAAAGAGGGCTGAGGATGTCTAGCGGCAGACACGGAACAGCTTGAAGAATACCTTGTGGAAAAACTCTAAAAGTATTAATGTTTTATTCACCCGTGACTGCAGGAGTGAAAAGATATGCAGCGAGAGTTTTATTCTTGGATGGAAAGGATGGGAAATGTGGGTTTAGAGGTGGAGAGCGCATGAAGAGGTGGAGGAGGGTGAGTGACAAATTTGTTCATGTAAAAAATTCTCTTAAATACAAAAAAAAAAAAACACACACACAATATAAACACACTCTCTTGGACCGGATACATGACAGGATACCACAGAACAGCGCTACGCCCTCTGTTGTCCTGGCCAGGAATTGCTTTGCCACAATCCCCAGGGGACGGTGAAGTCTGAGGGCAAATTGTCTCCATCCGTGCGTGCGTGTCTGTCCCTCATGGAGCTGACGGAGAAGTATAAATTAGGCTTTAGTCTCTGGGTGACGCCATGTTAGACGCCATGCTTCCTTCCACGGGAGCCTGTGAGGACAAAACACATTTACTGATTTGTAACAAAGTTACCAATCTTTCACCATTCATAAACGTTGTTGTTTTACACATTTACCACTTCACTCGTTGCCAGTGATTAAAGGGATGGTGGGCTTGTCTTTTTGCTGGAGGTTTCCCTCCTGGGAATTTTTGACCCTAATAGCCATCTTAAGGTCTTAGGCCCTGTCCACACGTAGCCGGGGGATCTGCCAAAACATAGATATTTTTCTACGTTTTGGCCTGTAATCCACACGAAAACTGATCTTTTTAAAAACTCCGGCCAAAGTGAAGATCTGCGTTTTCTCCGTTTTGGGTGTCTGCGTGTGGACAGACAAAACCGGAGTTTTAAGGTCCGCAACGTCACTTTCCTCGTCAAAAAAATGCTGACATCACGTGTGCGACCTGTGTTTACAATAGCCGACAGCATGGATGCCCTCAGAGCTGCGCTCGCTTTATCAATTGTCCAAGCGTTTTTTGCTTGTTTGTTTTTGCAAGCGGAATTACTGCTCCTTGCGGAAGACCACAGACGAAGGACAAGGTTAAGAACGGGGGAAGTACTGCCACCTACAGGTCTGGCATGTCCTTAACAACGTATTTATCCGGGTACGTGTGGACAGAGTTTTTTTTTAAAACGAGGTGGTGTGGATGCAAGTTTTTGGAGGGGCGGATATTCGTTTTTTTTTTAAAACCCGGCTACGTGTGGACTAGGCCTTACTCAAACACATAAATACTGGTTGCCTGCAATGATTTAGGTATGAATCGTCCCCTCTCACCAGGGAAGAACACACCGTCACTATAAGAAAAATCACCTGAGGTTTTAATTTTAAGAAAACAATTCAATATTTCAGTGGAATCAAAAACGGTTCTCTTTTATTCCCGCAGTGGGTCGTGTCTTTACAGACCGTAGATGTTTTCTCCTATTGCTTTGTGCTTCCTGCAATTCATTCTGCAGTTCTACATAAACAGACTCATTTATTTTAAGATATCGCAGCAAGCAACTAGAACACTGTTAAAATACATTAGCCAGCTGAAACCCACCCTCCACTATAAACAAGCAGGTTATTTGAATCTTCTCAGACTTAAAACTGACAGTTCCTGAGCTGAACTTCTCGATGCATCATTAAAAAATAATAACTTTATCATCACGCTTTCCTGCAGTAAGAATGTAGTAACTGCTAGCCCTTGTGTATCCCCGGCATTAATGAGCAAACATGGCATCAAAGTAATCCCGCTCCTTCTGTATTTGACCCTGACAGCTGCCCTATCGATATACAGTCTTCTTGATCTTCTCCTTTCAAGTGTGTGGCGTTATGGAGCATCTGTTTGTGAGAACGTGTCTCAGCCTATTTTGTTACTTTCAGTCCAGACACTTCCTGTCAGATAAACTCTATCAGCTTCATCGAGATGAGACTTGAGCATTCATCAGGCGGCGGGGCTTTTAGTTAATGTCACACGGATGCTTACTATCAGAATAATGATCCACAGCTTGAGCACATCTCACATTAATTTGCCGATGTGAGCATTTGTTTAGATAATTAGCTCAAGCGGATCTGCACGCTAACTAAGATTTGATTTAAGGTGGGACCACGTACATCTGTGTGTTTCAGGATTGACCAGCTGGCAAATGAAAGGATTGTTTATCCGATTATTGTGTGAATTTGGAGTCATTAGAAACAAATTTGCAGGGATTAACCATAATCACATTTTTCATATTTTTTCAACAGAACATGTTTTTATTCCCAAACATTCCTATTGCATCTTCATTTACTGACCAAAGTCAGTTTAGCTTCCAGAATAGATGAGGACAAAACTGCAGGTGTTGGACGCGACTCTCAGTACAGAACACTTCTGGTGCCACGTTAGGGTGTAACACACTTTTAGATTGAATACAAAAAGGTCATACTGAAAGTCAGCCCACAGCAGTTGTTACTGACCCAGTGACACCCAGCAGATCAACTCTGGGTCAGAGGTGACTTCTGAACGGATCCCGCATGTTTGATTGTGGAAAGATTAAGAGAAGTGGCTGGAAACGGAAGCTCCTCAGTGTGGTGCATCGACATATATACGATGTGTGGTGCAGGCAGTCCATCAAACCTAATTTACGAAGCGTTTTCATACGAGTGCAGCTCAGAACGTTGTACAAGATTAAAACATTACCCCACACCTCCCCCATAGGTTAAAAATCATTGGTTAAAATGCAAAATCCCTTTTATACCTCCTTCTCCTTACCCCCAATCCCCCCCCACCCCACCACACACACACACACACACACACTCACACTCACACACACACACACACACACACACACACACACACACACACACACACACACACACACACACACACACACACACACACACACACACACACACACACACACACACACACACACACACACACACACACACACACACACACACACACAGCACCACTCCAAACACAACCATCTCTGTTCATAATTTTAGCCTATTTATTGGAGGTTTCAACTACCAATGTGGAGGTTAAAAGTAGAGGGTATTTGTAACCTCCCCCTTGCCAGATGGTTTGTTCTAACGTTCCCCTTGGGCGGCAAATACGAAAATTCACAGTCAGAATGCATGAGAAACAAACGCTTGATCACAGTGAGAGTAACGTTTTAGGTAGCAAAAGTGTTAAGGTTAGGGTGAGGGTGAGGAGAAGGTTATAAATAGTGAAACGTTAAGGTTTAGGTGCGGTTAAATGAGCTTGTTCTGTGCCACATCAGCAGATATCCCATCACGTCAGTTTTACGCTGCATTGGGATCTGCAGTCAGAAAAGGGGAAAACCCTTTTCGCACATAAGTGATGAAAAAGGGCACTTTTGGCATCAGGGGTCTGACGCGGAGGGTGGCTGATCAAGCGTTTGTTTTTGAAGCGCTGGGAGTGAGAATGTGTTGTTTGTTCATACGGCCGACAAAATTACTCTGGGGTTTGTAAAGCTTGCTTCAAATATAACAAGCCACTCTTGGCTTTATTTGTACTGAGCAACAATCCTGGTTTTTGCTCCTGGGACTATTCAGGTAGTTTCAGGCGCAAAACAACCACCACACCTCATGCAAACCTACATTTTGACCCCTATCAGACAAGTTCTGGTAATCCTGTCTGATGACTCTGCAATGCAACGTCTGTATCTGGGGGACGTGGTTCCCATCAGTAATTACTTAGCACGACTTGAATAGATTTGGCCTGCTTGGATGGCATTTCCATCAGTAATTGGTGACAGGTTGCCGGCTCAATACCTGCTTTAATATGGTTCTGTGCATACTGAGCCGGGCCAAAAATGTGACATCAGCAAATGACAGTCACTAACTGTCTAGGGCAGGGGTCACCAACCTTTGTGAAGCTGAGATCTTCGTCACGGGTACTGAGCCATATGAAGGGCTACCAGGTTGATACTAACGTGACCTTCAAACTAGAATAGATCAGATTTAAACTAAGCTTCATGTATAATAAACATATTAAAATTTTTAGAATAGAATAGAGTAGAATAGAATAGAAGAAGAAGAAGAAGAAGAAGAAGAAGAAGAAGAAGAAGAAGATGTTTTCTATAGCGCCCCTAACGATAAAGATCACGAGGCTCTTCACAAAAACAAAAAATGTAAAATCTAAAAAAGAATTTAGAAAATGATTAAACATATATTTAAAATGAGTAAAAAATAGACAATTGTGGTTAAAAAATGTAAAGAAAGAGAGAGTGTGAATATGAAAGAGGGAAATCAGTGGATCCTGAGGAAGGTGGAATAAGTAGGGAGAGCAGAACAAGGAGAGGGT